CTGAACATACTGAAGAAGAAACTCGAGGGAGCCAAAGGGCTATGGCCCGAGCTACTACCGGAAGTGTTATGGGCACACTGAACCACACCCAAATCCTCCACAGGAGAAACGCCGTACTCACTGGTCTACGGAACCGACGCGGTCATGCCGGTCGAAGTCGGCGAACCAAGCTTAAGGTATTCACATACCAGCGGAGCAGAGAACGACGTAAACAAACTTCAAGACCTCGATGAGGCCGAGGAAAGAAGAGAAATGGCCCACATAAGAATGGTGGCTCAAAAACAACAAGTCGAAAGATACTACAACAAGAGAGCCAAAATAAGACCACTCAAAGTGGGGGACTACGTCCTCAAAGCCAAAACATTGGCATCAAAAGACCCAACCGAAGGAAAACTGGGCAACAACTGGGACGAACCCTACAAAATCACAGCGGCAGCAAGTAAAGGAGCATTTCAATTAGAAACAATGGAAGGAAAAACGCTCCAAAACAATTGGAACGTCGCCCACCTCAAGTATTTCCATTTCTGAAAGGCGTCTCCCGAGTCGCACTCTTTTTCCCTTACCCGGGTTTTGTCCCAATTGGGTTTTCCCGGGGAGGTTTTTAACGAGGCGACAGAGGGGACACCTGGAGATATTTGAGAAACAAGTTTATCATACCAGCCACTCCATACGTCCTCCCGACTGGCATGACAAAGGGACTGGACTAGCGTGATCTCCAATGTTGAACGGCTACGGCCATCTCCAATGTATGAACGGCTACGGCCATCTCCAATGTATAAACGGCTACGGCCATCTCCACGTGTAAAAGGCTACGGCCATCTCCAACAACACATGGCTAAGGCCATCAACGATATAAATGGCTAAGGCCATCGACGCCAATAAGTCGACCCAGCTCGACTATGATGGCAAGCAACTCGACGACAGTCGAAGTTACGCACATGGCTAAGGCCATCAACGATATAAATGGCTAAGGCCATCGACGCCGATAAGTCGACCCAGCTCGACCATGACGGCAAGTAACTCGACGACAGTCGAAGTCACATATACGGCTAAGGCCATAAATGATATTATGGCGAAAGCCATCGACGCTGATAAATCGACCCAGCTCGACCATGACTCGACGACAGTCGAAGTTACGTACACGGCTAAGGCCATAAATGATATTATGGCGAAAGCCATCGATGCCGATAAGTCGACCAAGCTCGACCATGACGGCAAGTAACTCGATGACAGTCGAAGTTATGTACATGGCTAAGGCCATCGACGTCGATAAGTCGACCCAGCTCGACTACGACGGCAAGTAACTCGATGACAGTAGAAGTTACGCACATGGCTAAGGCCATCAACGGTATAATGGCTAAGGCCATCGACGCCGATAAGTCGACCCAACTCGACTATGACAGCGAGTAACTCGACGATAGTCGAAGTTGCGCACACGGCTAAGGCCATCAACAATATTAAGGCCGAAAATAAAAGGTACCAAAAGAAAAGAATAATAGCAAAAGTATAACTTCCATTATCATCCAAAAATACATTTACAAAAGGACCCATTTACGTCTCCAAATACAGCAAAACAAAATGAATACAAGTCCTAAGGGGCTTCGCCATTCTGTTCACCGCCCCCAGTCGGACCTCCATCTCGTCCGCCGCCGTCCTCGGCCTGATAGGCTGCAGAGATCCAAGAGCCGGATTCTAGACGGTTGACGTCTTCGGAGTTATAACCCGCCCGATCTGGGGAATCAGAACTATACCCACAAGTTTCACAGGCGACACGGGCTATGCGCCGTTGCTCCTGAACCTCCGCCTCAGTAGCTCGACCCGCAGCTAAGAACTCCTCGAATACGACCAATCTGGCCTCGGCGTACACCCACATATCATGCGCCTCACGATGCACATCCTCATCAGGCCTTGGTGCAGCAGTCCGCTCAAGGACTTCAATCTCAGCCGCCTTGGCATCGAGTTCTGTGGTCATAGCGGCAACCTTGATCCGCAAATCAGCAGCTTCCGCCGCTACCCCACGGCCAACCTCCAACTCTTCTTCCTTAGACTGGAGAAGAGTCTCCAGCTCAATGTTCCGAGCCAGGGCGGTCATCAGCTGCTCGTCGATCTGCTCCAGCTCGGCCACCCTCCGTTTCAGCTGGGCCTCAGACTGCTCCAAACCCTCACGGAAAACCCAAAATTCCGGGTCCTGCTTGAGTAGATCCGCCAGCGCCTGATGCTTGACGCGGCACCGCCGATATTTCTTTACCACCTTGTTAAAGGTGGCTGCCTTCCTTTGCGCTCGCCGCCCCCTCTCTATCTCCAAGATGAGAGTCTAAAGAAGAGGAAAAGGAGGAAAGGAAAGTCAGTATGCATCAAAATTTACTTTACGGTACATGAAGAAAATCAAAAAATACCTGCAAGGCCGCGCCGGCAACCCTCCGGGATAGTTCCCCGTCGCTAACCCCTTTTAACATTTCACGCTCAACGGCCGCACATAGCAGGATCGTATCCGCTGCGGCCTGCTCGCTGTGTTGCAACAGGTTATACCCTCCTGGGATCAGAATTCGGCGGTTGGGTCTACCTCCCGTCATCCCCACACGGGGCGGACCCCGCGTTAACGCATCTGCATCCGCCTGGGCGGCTTCAGGGCCCACTCTCTCGGTATCATCGCCCGCTTCTCTAACGGCAGCCGACGAGCCGCTCTCCGGAATGCGTGTTGGGCTGGCGTCGAGAACCGCCCCCCCTTGGGGAGCCGACCTCCCGGAACGGATGGCATCTGCTCATAAGAAAACTAGCCTCGACTCCCGATGGGGCTCGATCGCCCCCTCGTCTTCTGTGGCTATCCCCTTGCCGGTTATCAACCGGCGACTTTTCCTTTCCGGCGATTCCTCGCTCTCAGAAGTCTCCTCCACAGCCCGTGGGGGTGGCATTGAAGGAGTCGCTTCCCTCGTGGACACCGCCACTGGCAGCGGTTGAGGAACCTCCGCAGCGCCATCACTGGGCGAGCCACAGGGTATGTATCCGTCTTCAGAGTCAGTCCCGCCCCAGGTGAGGTGACGACGTTCTTCTTCTTCTTCTTCTTAGGGGCGCTCCGACCTGCCAACGCGAATAAGTCAGGTAACAAGAACGTAGGGAACTCCCAAACTGTAGCCAAAGAATTACCTGATGGGCCGTACTGTTGAAGAAATACAGCCCAGGTACGACATTCCTCCGCATAAGTATTATTCTTTCCACCCATGATTTAATGTCATCGGTAAACTGGGGTGGAGAAGCCCTCGCTGCGAATAAAAAAGGGAGAAAAGCAAAGAAATCACAATGGCCGTATGGTCAAAAGCGCAAGCAGTCCTGAATTCTACGAGTAGAAATACTTACGTTCTGGATTCCATCTTTCCGGGAACCCTTCGGGATTTGACACCAGGTGCTCCGTCCTGATGTAGAAATATTTACGCCAAAAGCGGCGGTTGGGCTTATCATCGACTTTAACAACCAAGCCCCTTGTGCCACGACTTTTTAACTGCAGCATGGTACCCCTCAGGTAACCAGCGCTGAATAACTGTAAGAGGTGGTGGACCGAGACGCTGCACTCAGCCCTGGCCGTATAAGTGGTCATAATACGGCATACCTTCAAGGTGTAAGGAGTGAGCTGAGCTGGACACACATTGTAAAAACGGCAAAGCTCCTCCATCAGAGGGTAGATTGGAAGATTGTAACCGATCAAGAACGGGTACTCATAGAATGTGCAATATCCAGGCCGGTGCACATTGGCATAGTCCGTCCCGGCCGGAACCATTTCCACGTGGTCCGAAATATGGTGCGTCTCTCGAAGATCATCTAAGTGGGATTGTAATAAAACGTTGTGCTCCCAGGGAAGGTCTGGGCTTTTAGTTGGAAAATCCCTGCGAACATGCATCTCCTTCGGAAGGACGTTGTCTACACTGAGAGGAACAAGGGCCTTCTTCGCCTTTTCCCTTTCACCACCAGAAGATGGCGGAACCCTAGACGGGGCATTATCTTTGGCCTTTTTACTACTCTGTCCACGTTTTGTCATGATTATACCACGTAAGAAACGAAGCACTGACGATAGGAAGTGTGGTTTCAACAGAAGTGGGAGAGTCCCTCACGAAATAGCGGTTACAGAAAGAAAGACAAAGGAGTAAATCAGAAAATGCTTTCCGAAGGCTTGAAAATTGAATCGAATCGAACCTCTCTCCTACTTATAGGGATAAGTTGCGCAGAAATCGAAGAGTCATGATTCATAACGTGCGCGGGAAACCAAAATGTCACATCATCCTCTGAACCGCCTCGGGGGCAAATATAATAATGACGCATACAGGCGATGACGTCATTCCAAAAAGGAAGCCACGCGTCAGTGGCTCAACAACGTCATATATTTCACCTCATTCATATTGCCGCCCCTGGTCGAGGTCAAATTCTCCTAAGCCTAGGTTCGCATTTCCGCCCATCGAAGACGCCCACCGAATGCGTCTCCAACGAGAGGAGGGACTAACTGTATGGGGTCAAATTTGATCGTCAGCATCTCTACGCCAGAGGGTACGCCCAGTGAGTATACGCCGACTAACGTAGCGGGTACGACTCGGACGCGGGGACAAAAGCGACATCGTTTAGGACTCAGTGTCTTCACTAGGGAGACGTTACCTGTCTTTGTAACTTTTTGATTCTTTCGAGGAAGGTCTCTTATTATATAAAGGAGACCTTCACATTGTGTAACAGGGGGATTCTGATCTAATACAACTCTCTCATTTTCTGGCTTTCTCTCTCTATCTCTACCTCAAACGAACATATCTTATTAAGTTCGTATTATCACTTTGCAATACTAGATCTACAACAATAATATCATCTTTGCATCTCTAGGTTTATTATATTTGATTACGATTTACCCTTTTCTTACTTTTGATTGTTTTCTAGCTTACAAAGTATATTGTTAACTTTTGAGCTAAACAATATATTTCTTCTTCTTTGTTTTAATGGAATAGAATAAGAGAGGCGAAGACGTCTTTTTGCTCTACTGATTTTCCCTTCTTCTTTCTTACCATTGATCTCTTTCGCCCTCTATTTCTTGGTTTGGATTTGCAATTTCTTCATTCTGGTCGTTGCTTTCACGATTCTACTGCATTTGTCTCCCTGTTGAGGGTTCTCTTTTGTTTCTTTCTTTATTGCTACCTTTTGTTGCTTAGGGAGTTTGATGGTGTTTTGTTAGTAGTCCCCTTCTTTTGGGGGTTATTTTGTTGCTTAGTTCTGTCAATGTATGTTAATATTTGTGCCTCATTTTCACAGGGATGTCATTATCTAGCAGAACTGGATGTCACATTGATAGTGATCTTTGGGTTGTTCTTGTGGAGAAAATTCACCTTGCGAATCCTTAAAAGTTAAGTAAGTATACTTGAAATGCAGTAACTAGGCTTAGAACTACACTCTTTTTCTTTTAGTTTCCAGAGAACCACTTGCAGCAGATTTGTCATTATCCTTTTACAGGGTTTCCAGGATGGGATTCTTACTGTTGCTGAATATTGTTATAAAAGAAATCCAGTTCTAATTTCTAATTAGTAATCCTTAAAGTATGCCAGCTGATCCTTTTCCTATGTTGTTGCATAATTTTTTATATATTCTCTGATCTTTAATGGTTGAGACAAAGTTCAGATGCATATTTATCTTCTCATTTCTTGTGATAGCCAATGTGGTCAAATGCTCTGTATTATGTGCTTTTAGTTTTATTACTGTATTCCTACACAACTAACGCATACATACAAGAATGTGTAAATATTGTATAAATTGTTCCTTCTTTTCTCTTTGGCTACTGATTCTCCTGCTTTGTTTTGGTAAGTGATACACAGGGTATCGTTGTTTTCGCTTCTGTCATGGAGACTTCAGGACTGCAAATAGTTATGGAGTCTATGCATACACTAATATAGGATGTAAGTTACCCGAGTTTCTATTGCATTGAGATATATGTTCTATGTGTGGTTGAAGGCTTGCATCATTTTTTACAATCCTTCCTCCTAATTTTCTACACTAATGCTAATTTTGGTGGGGCTTGAAATTTCTTAGTATACAAGAGGGACGGCAATATATAAATTGGGTTAGTTTAACACTTACTAATGTTGTTTGCACTAAGTTAAGCTCAATGCACATTCATTTTTTTTTTTTAGATAAATCTTGCTTTGGAAGCTATAATTTATTCAAGTCAACATATAGCTTTTAAGTTTTATATTCCTAAGCGGATCTATCCTAATTTTAGGTGTGGCAATAGTTGGGAAACCTGTGAGGAATACTTTGAGACCAAATATATTAAATAATTAGCATTTAACTACAAATTGAACTAAATCATCCATATCTGGTGTCTTTTCTGCACAAAGTAGATAACTTGTCAATGTTAAGTTTGGGATAAACACTTATGTTGTTTGTTATCCCATTTGGTCTTTGTGAGTGAGAGTTTGGAACTTAAAGTAACATCTGCTTGTAGAGTTACCATTCTTGGTTCATGTTGCAATTAAGCTATCCTCTCATTAAGTAAGTCTTTGGTAGTTTCTTTGAGTTATTTCTCCTTTTGTTCAGTATGTATCAATCATTTAGGTGAGGCGCATGGTATTATGAAGGAGAAGAATGGTGGAAGGATTCCCATTTCCTATTTTTTCTATACGTTGTCATTGTACATTCATCAAGAGTTCACCTTCCAAGGTGCCGATGAAGTTTTTTCCGTTGGCATCAAGTGGAAGTGGACACTGTTGATGTATGTACTCATTTTAGATGAAACTCTGAAATATGTAGAGCTAATATGTGTTTTATTTATAGCATTAGATGTGCGCTGATAAGCTGGTAAGAGCGATTTTATTTTTCGGCGAACCTTATTGAATGTTTGGAAGTCCACAATTTTTGTCAAAGTATTGTTATCTTGTGTAGAAGAGGATGTTTAGAAGGGGAGAGAAGAAGATATTATTTCAACATTAGAAGTTATGAATAGTACCTATTCTGTTTTGGTAGTATCTTCAATTTCTTATACGGGATATGGAATAGATAAAGCTAATTTCTTACCTATCAGTACTCCACCTACTTTAAAAATTACGTGTGTATATTCTTTTTATATGCTGAGGTGCTTTCTTACTTTCAGTTTTCTGTCAATTTTTGCGAGTAAGGATGGCTTAAAAGTTGACTTGTGTGGGAGCTTTTTACCAGGCTAACCGAGAAATAAGTTAAAAGTATTATATATGGTGTCGCGCCTCCTTTTTCTCTTCGCGGAATCGGGTTCATGATATTTGGTCGGGCCAACTCTTTCCTTTGGAAAGGGGGTTGCATATTTGGAGAGTCGCCACCTAACAATTTTAAGGTGCGTTAGGGCACCTATAGGGTTCATTCATAACTACGTTTGGTAACCAGAGATAGGATAAGGGCTTGAAATTATCCTAAGGGGAAGGTGTTAGGCACCCCTCAGGATCCACTAGTGTGGTTCCCGGCCAGACAGTTTTTGTGAATTTGTGCAATTAGCAAATAAACAAGTATGACTCGAATAGTAGGAGATTTAAGTTTAAATACTCAAGTGTTTGAAAACAATTAGTAAAAGGCGAAATTTTGAAAAGAATTACAATCTAAAGCATGCTTATGAATGTAAATGGGGTGTCCCAGGTTTGTTTGTAATATGGATCACATCAATGCAATACCCGGTATGACACTCCTCAAAGAGGGGCTACACGTGGTATTAACGCACCGGTCATCATATCCATATCTATCCTTTCCCGCCCCGTGAAGGTGATTAAAGCGAGGGTTGGTCTCGACCGCTATTGCATGATGTTACCCGTCCCTTCCTATCAGTCCCGGAGGAATTTAGGACTTCTATCCTATGAGTGAGGTTCTAGGCAGACCCTCACGTTTAAAGGCAAAATGCTAGGCGACAAACAAGAACAAATAGGACTGCATTTAAAGGGAGCATGGAAGACAAACGAAATGCTCAAATATACCTCCACATACAGTGCATATGAACAACATGACTCATACACAGATAAGGTCTGAATTCAGAATTCTAAAGCATGGTATCTAAGTGACAACAGTAGAACCAGATTTATTACATGACTCAGAAAAGAAGTCCGAATCGGGCTTGCCTAGTGATTTTAGCATGCTAGCAGTTAAGTAAGGACAGTTCTGTTTTTATTTAAGCAATTACCTAAGGCTTTCCTAGGCGTAAAGTAATATGCAACAGTTAATCAGAATTATTAAAATAGTTTGGAGATGGTTTTTACCTAAGAGCATGCTGTTCTAGTTGATACGAATACAGAGATTATTACCAATTTTTATTCAGAAAACAACAATGCGGGATTATATTATTACCTTTTCATGAATCAGTACTTAACTAGGCGTCTTAAACAAAAAAATGCAAGTCAAAAAAAAAAACCCCTAAGGCATGATTTCTAAATGCGTACAAGAGTTGCAGAATTATTGAGATATGACTTCTGAAAGTACAAGAGTAACAGCTTTTATGCCAATGTTGTTATTGTCCTAGGAGCAGGATTTCTAAGTGATAGACATAAAACATGGATGAGTGATGGATGAGATGCTGAAGCAAGAAACATGGGTCCTAAGAGCATGATTTCTAATGCATGTATGAGCCCTAAGCATGGTTTCTATTGCACAATTAGGAATATAACCCTAATAACATGTTTTCTACCCTTAACAACTATAGCATGCACATTTACCCCATCCATTTTCACTAGCCAACCCCAATACTTGTTTACAACAAGTTATTAAAGACCAACATTGAAGTGAATTACATAAGTAGAAATGAAAATAAGAAGTTACACTATAGGAAGCCTGATTAGAACTTCCTCTCTGAGTTATGTAATCAATCACCCCAAGTGCCAATATTGTTCCATAGCCTTTCTTATATTTGGGTGTGTCAGAGTTCCCTAAGGACCTCAAGGGATCTGGGACAGTGCTCACACCCAGATTGCATAACCAAGACAGAATAAGTGCAGTGTGAAAAGGCCAGCTTTTATGTGTCCAAGTTCAGAGGGAACTCAAGGGTCCCAAGGCAAGGCTCACACAAAAAGAGCAGAACCTAGTGGCCTAAGAGTATATGTGAGTGTGCTTGAAAAAGAGTTGAGTTGGAAAACAGTTTTGAAACCGGATGTTTGAAATAAGTTTGCAAAACAACAGAAGAGTTGCTTAGGGAAAAATAGTTTTGGAAGGAGAAAAGAATAGGAGCACCACAACTTGGAACAAACCAACACACACAGAACAAGTACAAGAATAATATCATTTCAACATTCACAAGCAGGGAAGTAAGGGGTTGGGGACATAGAGGGCCTAAATCAGAATCACATAAACATGGCTGAGAAGAGATGCATATAGGCCAGCAAGTACAAAGAACAAGTAGAGACTGATTGGCCTTCTGAACACAAACAATTACTTCAAAGAGTTAACAAGGGAATCATGCTTGAAATTAGAATAGTAATAAGACATAGGGTATGGGAGTAATCATGCATGGGTCTATTACACATAATTAGTCATGACTTAGTCTTAGTCAAGCACATTAGGAGACATACTAGTTGAGGGACATAAACAGGAACTTAAGTAGACATGCTGATTACATTTGAACAAGAGAGGGCAGAACTTAAGCATGCTGAATAAGGCAGTAAACAAGAAAGGCAATGACACATGAGCCATTGAGTTAGCGCAGAAACAGACAAGGATTAACAAACAATGGAGCACATAGAGTTGAGTTTCAGAATTGAACTAAGAACATACTAGTTAAGGAAGCAAAGTGTAGAAAGTAAAGCAAGTAGTGTCCCATAGTCTAGCCTTGGCTTTCAAGGATCCTTTCATGCATTATGTTAGATATCAAGGAAAATCAATTCTGGCTTCAAAGGGGACGTGCGCCATAATCTAGGAGCCCAAACTATGTGGTTGAATAAATCCTCCTGCGGGTCAAGGGCTTCTTTTCCCTCCCCTTCTTCAAACTCCGATTCATATTTTTCATAGATGCCGGCTAGACAAGCAGTTAGCACAAGTAGTAGAGAAAGAAGAGAGAGTTTGAGTGTGTATGTGTGTGTTCTGAACTAATTGTTCGTCTCTTAAGACTGTAGAAGAGAGTCATTTATATAGTAGTTTGAAAACTGGTTAAAATAAGGCAAGAATCAATTATAGAACTCAACATAGAAAATTGGTTCGAATCTCCCTTTGATTAAGAGAGTCAGTGTGAATGGTAAAGGGCAGGTGAAAAATAAGGAAAGAAATCATACATGGCTGGATTATAATGAATAAGGAAAGATTTCAAAAATAGTACCAGTATAGAACAAGTAATTAAGGCTAGGTTTAGAAAGTTTTTTTTCAAACTAAGGAGACAATCAGTAGCAATGCAGACAAGGCAAGGGGAATTAATTAAGGTAAGCAACTAATCAAATTAAGTAGGGGTCGAGATTCAGTAGCATAGAGTAGGACCAAATTCATACAGCCCTAATTAAGGACACAAATTAGTAGAAAAAAATAAGTATCATAGCAAAATAAGGTAAGGAAATCAGTCAGCCTAACAGACGGGGCAAAGCTTTTAGGGTTTTTGAAAGAAAATTTACAATCACCATCGATTAAGGAAACCAGAAAAGGGGGTCATGACTCTATACTTTCATCATATAAATAGAGGAGGTCCACAAATGTAGCAAGAAAATCATATTTGAAGCATAGTCACAGAAAGAGCAAAAGATGAACAAACAAAGTGAGCATAGTCATACAAAAGCGACATAAGTAGGCTAGGGATTCAGGAAAACATATTCAAAGCAGAGTACTCACAGTGCTCAAGTAAGCAGGCTAACACACAGACACGGAGTAAAAAAGCATGCTTACACTCAGAGAGGCAAAGTAAGGAAAATTATAGAAACAAAGTAAAGAAAAATCATAAAAGAAAAGGGGCTTTTAACAGAGTCAAGTTAAAAGCAGTAAGAGCACAAAATCGGTCAAAACAAACAAGGGAATGGGTTTAATCATAACGAAACGATTTGAAGAGGTATAGGCTGCACCCTGGCTTCTGAGCTGCCTACATATCCCTGGCTTCACAGGAATCAGACCGTATGTAGTTCGGGATCCACCGGTGGAGTATACCGATGAAGTGATTTCAAGAACGGACGCAACATCTAGGACTGGGTGAGCGAACGATTTACGGGAATGGTTAGGTTTAATATGGTGGAGGGAACTGGAGCGGGATCGCTCCTGCTGGGGTAGCCGTTTCTCGCCGTCTTACTTGCAAATAGAAGCAATACAAGCGTATACCGTGCATAAATTTAAACATGATGCAAATTCCTGTTGGACCATGAACGTTGTCTTTGGACGATGAGGATGATGTCCTTAGACCATGATGGCCTGGGCTATGAAGCGTATGATAAAGGATTCACAGGCCATGAAATGATGTTCTCGGGCTATGAGGATGGTGCCTCCGAACCATGATGCCTTTGAAATATGATATGCAAGAGATCGAAAGAGATCCTCAGGCCATGACATGGTGTTCTCGGGCTATGAAGATGGTGCCTCCGAACGATGACACCTTTGGATGAGTTGGCGATATTTCAGCCCATGAAGGATGCAGTAGTATGATGCAGACAAGATAGAGCTTAGTTTTGTAGTGGTGGCAGGTGTTGCAGTGGTGGTGAGGAGCAGGATGGTGCTTTGGAATGTTCTGTGGAGGTGTAGGGTTCTGAGCATTTGGGAAATTGATATCTGGAGTAGTGAGGGAAAATGACAGATTTGCCAGATTCCGAACCTGATCAAGTTCTTCTTGGAATTTCAGCAGCTTTTGTTCCAGTTGGAATGCATTTTCCTTGGGAACCAGAGTACCGTGACCATGAGTGATCGCTACCCGTTCAGTTGAGTTTTCCTTTCTGGCGTTGTTCAAATCTTCCATCTTCCCTTTGTTCTTGTTTTTGACGGGACTAAGAGGAGGAGTGGGTGGAGGGCCCTTGGATGGAATAAGATGATGTTGCCAGAGCGCACGAACTAACCTTTGGGG